TACAGCCAGCTGGAGACAGGACACCTGGCCCCAACTACAGCTGAGCACATGAATTTTTAGCATGGCTTCTTTGAGAAGGATGCTTTTTCATGGATATCGCCTCCCCATGCCAATACCCCTGGGGTAGGCAATAGACTGTGGCATGCCTTGAGCCCAGCAAATGGCTGCCCTTGCTCCTGGGCAGAGCAGCATGGAGATACCCAAGATTCCCAGAGGAGCTTTGGTCTGGAAGGCTTCCTACTCGTGAGCCATGGTCTTCCCAGGGCTCCTGTGTACTCTCTAAGCATGTGGCAAGGTGGTGAGTCTAGGGCAGCAATTACCACAACAAAAAGGCAGATGCTAATTGCCCTCAAACTAGCCAAGTCCATTTTCTCTCACTTGAAATAACAGGTTTAATTTAATTCTTTATTTCTAATTTGGTACATCACCAAGATCTTATTTGTATAAAACACCTGATTAGAATAATTACAAGCTTGGGAAGCTGTCTGCGTTTGTGTCTAATGAAAGGGACTCGCAGGGAGCTCCTGTTCCCTCACACTCTGCAAGAATGGGGGGACCCGGTGGTGAGGACACACACATGCGTCACAGTTCAGTCTCAGCTCCGCACGGCTGGCGTAGGTGCTCTGCTCGGCAGAGATCTGTAGTAGCATCCACCCTGGGAGTAGTCAAGGAGGATGGAGGTTGAGCCAGCACCTAGCACTGAATAGAGCTTGGTGTCCTTAGACCGTTCACTGCTCTTAAGACAGGCCTACATGCACCCACCTGTGTCCCAGCATGTCTGGACTATCACCCCTTAGGTCATACCATTTCAATGCAAGGGAGGGAGTTATAAGTTCTAGGGTCATGGAGTATGTTGTCATCTTCACTTTCTCTTGCTGAGAGCCAGTGCTCCTAGCCTACCTGTGGGAAGCAGTGGATCCTGTGCTCCTCAGGGAATTTGGAGGCCCAGGACATGGATGGACTGGATATCCTCCAGGAAGGGCCAGGCTGACTGAGGTAGAGAAGTGAGAGGGCTCAGCAGTGTGCCCAGTGGCCGCCATCCTGTCTGAAAGGCTACAGCTAGCGGCAGTGGGAACAGTTCAATGCAAAGCTCTGGAGTGAGGCTTCTGGTCTTTGGAGAGGAGGAAGGAAGAGAGGAAGGGATTTTGGTGCTCTAGTACAGGATTGCTCTTCAAGGCCAGGGCAGAGCATGGAAGGGCCTAATCACACAGTCAACTGCCAGCCACTCTGGCCAACCTTTTGCTTAGCAAGAGCATGCTGTGGTAGCTCCTGTAGTAGGACCGATTCCCCAGCCGGCCTTGGCTCACGGGGAGATGGGGAAAGGCCTACCTTTCATTCCAAGCCCACACTGGCAGTCCCCATAAGCCTCCAGCTTTAGGAATGAATTCCACAGAACATATTGCTTGGGAAGGTCTGGGGTCATCTGAGAGTAGCAACCTGTCTCTTCCTTAGGAGTCAGGCCCAGGTCTGTGAAAGGCCAAAAGCCTAACCAGTGGGGAACCACAGAGACACCACCGCCACCATCCCCCACCAGCTCTAGCATCGACGGTGTCAATCAGTTGCACCCATGGGGCCTTGCTCTGAGGACTTTTAGCAGAGTAGACATGCTCCGCCCTATACCCTGGAGCCCTCACAGCAGGCTGCACACATATTCAGTAGCTGCCACATCAAGACAAAATTCCTAGCCTAGAGACCGGGGGACCTGTCTCAGCAGAGTGAAACCAGTGGCCTCTGAGAGAACAATACTGTCCAAGTTCCTACACTGGCCCACTTTTTGGCTAACAGGACACCCCAGCCAGCCCAGGCAATAGGAAGGCAAGGAGTCCTCCTGAGCCATGAGTAAATGAGCAGGAAGTTTCCACACTGCTGGCCACAGCTGGAGAACCCTGCGCATTGAAGAGGAGCAATTCCCCAGTCATAGCATGGAGGTGAGGGGTGGGGAACAATGCAATCAGTCAGCTAGTGGTCAGAGAAACCGAGAAAACAATGTGGCTACTTGATGTCGCCTGTATACACTGGAATGGGCTATCAGCGAGCCACGGGCCCCCTGCCATAGCCACAGCCTCAGCCTTGAGTTGCCACTCAAAGCCGCAGGAGCAGCATGGTCCTGGAGCACAGAGCAGGCACCCTGTCCCACCTGCAAAGAAGTAAGCAGGGGTGCCTTTGTGCCTTCCAAGGTGCCCTTTACCTTGTCTCTTGCCAGAGGCGTATGGCGTGGCTCCTCATCCAGAACGCCACCCACCACCTTCTTCTCAAGTGTGTTCAGAATCATGACATACTGAAATGTGTCTAGAGAGATGAGATGGGCCTGTTGTGACCCCTGCACATTGCTGCTTGCTTTCACCTTCCAGACCCTGCCTGCATCCATCTACTGTTTGCTGCTTGGGAGGTTCCAGAGAGAGCTAGGCCGATGCCACCCCCTAGAAGGAGCAGGCAGGAGCTCATTAGCCCTAATGTGCTGCTGTCTGGCCCTCGCGTTGGATGATGATGTTGGCTTGTCACATCCCCTCCAGGGGACCAGAGGCATGGAGGAGCCGGTTTTTGCTCACCTGAAAAGGTGGGGGTCACCTGATAAGATGATTGTCCACAGCTGGAATTCACTGTCTCTTAGAGACTGAGGATGCCCCTCACCCTGGTACATATTGGGCTTGGCCATGCCTTCCCAGAGAGCTATGATGTCCCCTAGGGAATCAAATGCACATGGGGTAGTGCTGAGCATGTCCCAGATGCTGGGTAAGCATTTGCTGTCTGTACTGCAGCGGTTGTTCCCATCCCTTCAGGTGCGCCAGCCCGGAGGCTGAACATCTCTCCCTGTTCCTATCCAGTTCCCACACTCTCAGAGGGATGGAGAGGCTAAGAGTGAACCAGCGTACACTGGGACAGGGTCTCTGAGATGGCCCACCTGCCACTGCCATCGCCATCAGTTCTTGCTCCCCACCCTCTGCTTCTATTTCCTCCTCCTCTTCCTCCTCCTTCTCACCCACCAAGACTTCCTGGACCCTGTCCCCCCAGAGCTAGGGTTCTCTCTTCTGTAACCCCAGCAGAGGACTGCCACAGGGCTTCTTGGCTGCCATCCCACTGACTGCCAGCTCGGCCCAGCAGGTAGCTCAGAAGTCAGTTCAACCTTTTAGGCACCTGCAGGCACCCGTCCCAAGGAAGGGTCAGCTGAAGTTGTCCTCTGCGTCTAGACGCTACCTGCCGCAGATGCCGGTTTTCTGGGTGCTCTGAGAGTTCCCGCTGTCCGCCCTGTTCTATCGCCCGCATGTGGCCCAGGCCACAGCTGCCACTGTGCCTGCCACTGCTGAGGCTTGACCCACTGCTCTCGCCTGGTGCTAAAGTGTGTGGTGAGAGCAGGCTAGGCCCACCTTGGAAACACAAGCTGTGTGTAGGAACAAGGCTCCCTGGGAGAGTTAGGATTGTGTTTGAGTGATGTGAGGCTATGGCCTGTTCTTTATCCACCATAAAGATATCAGCTTCTCCGTGCATACCTGGAGCAGTGTAAATACAGTTTGACTCCCAAAGGGACTGACCAAGTGATTGTCGCATTTGTCTCTAATAGTTGAAGGCAAGATGGTCAGGAACTATTTAAAAGCAAAGGGTAGAGAGGAAAGACTTTAATCCTACCTATTAAAATATGACTCATAGTTGTGGAAATTAAAACAGCGTGGCGCTGATACAGAGGGTAGCTATGTGGCTTATTGGAACATAGTAGGTGACCCTGTTTTTGGCTATGGTCTGCTGCATGACACAGCCAGTGCTCTACAGAGTGAAGGGCAGGCGGGATTAGCCATTTTATGTCTTACACAGCAGCAGAATCTAGCACTCTAAAAGGAGTCATGGCCCTTACCAATGACTGCCACTGTGGAGACATAACCCTGAAGAAAGACTCTCCAAATGACCGAAGGCCACTGTGAGGAATGCTGGGGACACCAGATGACCCCACACCCCACACCCTTCATCCTCCACACAGATCAGTCCCTCCGCGTCTGTTTAGAAACAGACCATAGGTGTTTCTCAATAAATTCATCTCACTAGAGGCTGTGGGAGTTATAAAAGGCTGACGGTCGAGTAAAGAGTAGCTGTATGCGCCTTTAGAAGACAGAGGCAGGGGCCTCGCCGCAAATTAGAGGTCAGCGTGGGCTGTAAAGTGAAATCCTGTTTCAAAGAACAGCAGAGCACTTTCTAGAAAGATAGCCGTGGCTGTGTGACGTTCAAGAGTAGAGGCTGGCTATGACCTGAGTGTCTCCACACAAAGGAAAGGCTGGTTACATAAGAGTGTGGCCATTAGATGAAAAGGCACTTCCTGACCAGCATGACTGGGAAGCGTGGCTGTGGTCAGATATTTGGGGATCAACACAAGCACCCGACTGAAGCAGAAAGGTGACTTGTGTGCACAGCTGAACAGGGCTGAGCACTGGACATTAGCATAAGTCACTTGATTAAGGCAAGAGACTGGGAAAGTCTTTTAAATGTCATAACCAGTGACGCCACAGATGACAGACACCCTCCCATATAGGATTGTGTCACCTAGGACACAGCAGACCAGCCACACTGGGTCACTATAGGCCTTTGCACTTGGTTGAGGAGACATTTTCAGAGGAACTATATAAAACTGCTTTTTGTTTCTTTGCTTTTTAATTATTATTTGGGGGTGATGTAGTTGTTATTTTGGTTTGGGGGCTTGTTTGCTTTGTTTTTAGTTTGTTTTGGGGTCTCACTGTAGCCCAGGATGGCCTCACACTTTACCTCCTCAGCCTCCTGAGTGCCATGAGCCATGCACCTGGCTGAAATTGCCATATTTGTGTTCAAAGGCGAATGGATTTCAGCAGCTTCATGTGGTCAGACAATGTCTGACTCTGCTGCCCCTGAGCCCAGGGATTGGCGCAAACTTGCTGTGTACCTAGAATAGGAGATGCCTCCCTGCCTCCAGGGTCCTTCCTCAGGGTCCAGGTCAGGTAGGTAGCTGGCCCTCCTGAGTGTCTGACTGTCTGTCTCCACAGGCCCTGGTCCTTCACCAGCTGGGCCGCTACAGTCTAGCCGAGAAGATCCTCCGAGATGCAGTTCAGGTGAACTCGACAGCCCACGAGGTCTGGAATGGGCTTGGCGAGGTCCTCCAAGCTCAGGGCAACGACGCGGCAGCCACAGAGTGCTTCCTGACGGCCCTGGAGCTGGAGGCCAGCAGCCCTGCTGTGCCCTTCACCGTCATCCCCCGAGTGCTCTGAGGGGCCACCTGCCTCCCCCTGCCGCGCAGGCCCAGTGTGCTCTGAGGGGCCACCCGCCTCGCCCGCTGCGCAGGCCCAGGGTGCTCTGTGTGGACACCAGGGGTCATCCTGTCACCAGTGAACAGATCTGCAGTACTGAGGCCCTGGCAGGAGCTCTGCCCACAGTGGATTAACCACGCCAACCCTGAATCATCGCTCTCCCCTCCTGCATTCATCCACTCTTGTTTTTGCCAGATCCACGATCATTTTCTGAATCTACTCATGTTGTTCCAAATGGATTATGTGCCATATTCAGTTAGTTGACACCTGGGTTTTAAGTGAAATGATTACGGACTTAATCAGAGAATGTAGAATATATTCCAGGTTAAAATTCAGTGGCAGAACAGATTATTTTTATCAGCGCTCTAATGAAAGCAACTGCCCTGTCCTCTGCGGCCCTTCCACCTCTCCTGCCCCTCCCTTGGCCCAAAACCAAATGTGAATTTTCTGTTTCCCACCTCAGTACTCGTCCATGCCAGGACACCAGCTGACAACTTCTCAGTTTTATTGTCAACAGTTGTACCATGTGGTGAATTACTGTTCTCCTACTTAGAACAAAGCCCGAGTCTAAGAGTATTTATATTTTACCGATATATGGCTGTTACAAGAGAAGGAAATATGAGTTATTTAAGTTTAACTTTTTTATGTGAATTCAGAGTTTATTTATCGATGGAAATATGTACAAAGAAGCTTCAAATGGAATATTTACCGACATTCCTTATACATGACAGGCACTTGGCTAAACAGGAAGATGATGTTAATAAAAAAAAAAATGATTTTTAAATGGACCGCTGCCTTTTGTCTTTCACAGAGCTGGCAGACCAGAGAACCGCTGTTGGCTCATTTGTGGGGTTAGAGCTCTCCCATTCTGGGGCTCTGAACGGTCTGCCTGGGCACAGGGAGGGTCCCACACCAGCTGTGCAGAGAGCCGCTCTAGAAGATAGCTTCCGGCCTGGGCTGGCTCCTCACTCCAGGTCTGAGCAGGGTGAGCGCTTTTCTCCTTCCCAGCCTCTAGCTCCTCACTTACATCTGTCTGTGTGTCCAGGTCCCAGAGGCCCTGGCTGTCTGGCCTGCTTTCCGACCTACCGTGCCTGTCTCAACTAAGGACATTCATTCACTCACTCTCTCATTCATTCATTCATGGGTGAGGAGACATGGAAAGGTCAAGACACTCACCTGGGGAAACTACCTGGCAAAAAAAAAAAAGGGCATTGAGATGCAAGCCTGTGGCTTTATCTTTCCCAGACGTCAGGGTCTGCCCTGTAGAGCGAGGCTTTGGGGACTGAGCCATGTATGAGGTGCCCTAATTCCAGGGATGCTGACTGTGACCAAGACAAGCCTAGAGGAAAATCAGACGAGTGTGTGCACGGAAGAGGGTACACAGATGAAGCAAGGCCATGCGCAAAGCGAGGGACCACGCTGCCATCTCAGAGAAAGTAGCCTGGACACCTTTCTAAAGCAACACAGGCTGGGGCACGCTGGGAGGATCCCTGAGGGAGGGTATGCCCACCCCAAAAATAAGCCAGAACAGCTGGTCAGAGAAGGGTCAGAGCCCAGACAGCATCCTGCCCTCAGGGCCCTCCCTAGGCTGGAGTGGGTGACACACTGGCTGAAGGCCTGGGGCAGGAGAAGGGACTTCCTAAGAGGAGCTACCATGTGGCCTGCCGCCTCCCTGATTGTCCTTGTCTCATGACAGGAGCACTCCAACATCCGCTGCTTCGTTCATGCCCTCCCCCAGCTACCTCTCGAGGCCAGCGGATGGATGTTGTTCGGGCTGGCACAGAGGGTCTCATAGCATGCGAAGCGACACCCCACGGCACTGTGCCCAGGTGACCGTGCTCTCCTGTACAGCTTATTCCTACCTCTCCCTACACTTCCCCCCTTCCCACTCTCCTGGCTCTCCTGCCCGTTTCAACAGTGTCCACACACTCGACAGGTCCCCTAAGACCTGTCTGGGGAGACCAGCAGTTGACAGGATGCGTGGGGCCTCAGAGACCCTCACACACAACAGAGGAGCCAGGCTGTGTCAGGACGCAGCCCCTCCGCGCTGCCTCTTCTCTTGCCAATTCTTCAGCCCCACTCATCACTCATTTCCTGCTGTTTTCCCACCCACACGGCACCGGACGGAATCAGGAAAAGGACGTCCTGCTGACGTCTCACGCAGACATAGGAGTTTCCAAAAAGCCAGGCCCTGTGGCCTGCTCAGCAAGGTGAGAGATACCCACCAGCTCTGCACCTTCCAGAGGATCCTGAGTCTGTCCCTCTCGGGGCTTACTGTCAAATGGGAACAGTTGCCCCTTCCCTGCCTGCTTCTGGGCTAAGACTTAAGTCAGCAGGCAGCTGTTAGGGTTGGGGGGGGGGGGGGGGGTACCAGGCAGGGAGCACCGAGGATCCAATTCCTTCACAGGGCTGCCATCCAGAGCTTTGGTGCTAGCCCTACCTGCAAGCAGGTCTCCTCCCAGACACATGCCCTGACTGGGTTGGAGGCAACAGGTGCCAAGAAGGTGGTGGCACCTTCTGCATGTCTGTCCCCACCCCACCAGGAGCCCCAGCTAGCCATCTGGCTATCTACAGCCTCCGCCATAGTCCCCTGTTCCCTCATCTGCTACTTGGCCCCTGACATTCCCTGAGAACAATAGGGTTCCCTAGTGACCACTGGGCAGTAGGTCACACAGATCTGGCTGGAATCCCAGCTATGACTACTTATGTCATCTCTGACAGAGAAGGAACCTTCATCTTCCGTCTCCAAGATGGAAGTAGTTGACTTGTCGTCAGGACTGTAGGGAATATTCACAGAGACTAGTCCATACACCCCCGTGCTTGCCGGTCCAAGCAAGCCAGTCCCTTTGACAGGGTTTCCTCCTTCATACAAGGCTCAAGGTGACTGTCACCCAGGCTGTGCCAAAGGTCCCTTCTGTCTCTGCTACACAGATGGAGTCACAGGAAGGCAAGCTAGAAGTGCTGCTGCTGTGGAGACAGAGGCCCTGGTGAGGGACGAGGTGAAGAGGTAGGATGAGTTTGGCACAGAACCTGGCCTATCCTGTCTACCAGTCTCAGAGCTCCTTGGCCTTCTTGGCCTCAGACAGACCATGCCTGGGCGCTGGGTCTTGACTGAGGTCTAGCAACACAAGGCTCATACCGTAGCTGCCTGAGGCAGAGCCCCGAGAGCCAAGGGCTTGGGCTGGAGTTTTAACCCTGGCCTGGTGCCCAGCTCTGAGGCCCCTCAGGTGAGTCGTCAGGCCTCTCAGAGTCTCAGTTTCCTTGTATGCCAGGTGGGGAGAACACTTTCTACTAAGATTCAAAGTGAATGTCAAACACAAGCATGTGACGATTCCCCATAGAATGTTCTCCCACAGCGGAGGCTGTGGTACAGTCACCTGCCTGCCCACGAGCTGAGCTGGGCACACACACACACACACACCACACACCCGTAGCCACCCAGCTGCACAGGCCACAGAAGGAAGAAGAGTCCAAGCCTCACTCCCACCCCGCTGACTCTCAGCTGCACCCCAGGAGCTATGGCTGCCTGAAGGTGGAGCTCCCCAAGTCTCCTGGCATGGACCCCATCTAAGTGGCAGTGAGGCCTTCCTTGCTCAGCCTCTGCACCTGGAGAATCCCGTATGACCGGTCCCAGAGGCCTGGACTGGGGATGGGTTGTCTGAGCTGGGGGGGGGGGTTGGGGGGAGAGTCTGGGAAGACATAGAGCAGAGCAGGGTGTGAGTAGATGACAGCTAGAGAGGGAGAACTGGCAGAGGAGAGTCCTCAGGTGTGAATGGGGGACCTTACATCACATCAGGTAGTCAAGAGAAAGGCCCTCCCGCCTTTGTCGGCAGGGAGGAGCCACGGGGGGGGGGGGGGCAATCCTCCCCTAGACGAGAGGACACACTGGACCTGCGATCCCTCTAATGCTTTGACACGTGGTTGTCCAGATGTAACTAACTTCAACCTCGCCACTAAAAACTGATGGGCAAGATGGCCCAGCGCAGGGCTGATGGCCAGAGCTTCATCCCCGGAACCCACATGGCGGAAGGACAGACTCACCTTGTCTCCAAGTTGTCCTCTGGCCTCCACGTGCACACTATGGCACACTTGCCCACGCACACAGATAAGCAGATAAGTAGACAGACTGACAGATGATAGAGAGACAGAAGATAGATGATAGATAGATAGATAGATAGATAGATAGATAGATAGATAGATAGAT